TATAATCCTTGGCCTGGTACCAACATTAGGTATCCTCATCCCCTGTAGCAGACGAATTACTCGTGTATTTATGTGATCATCTGAAAGGAGTATATTCTCACTTTTAAAGATTCTTCGGAAAAATGTATGAATTTGGAGAGAATATTTTCCATCTACATGCGTAAGTCACAATCATATTCTGGGCATCATATTCAAACTTAAATCTCCAAAACAGAGACGACTTGAGAAAATACGGGGGAAGGTTGTCGACAAAGAGATCCAGAATTAGTGGTTGCCCACTGTGACCTTGGGGATGACAGGTACATAATACATTGCAGAACAAAAGAGAGCTATGCAAAAAGTCACTTATATTTATGAATAAATCGTCAGAAAAGGAACAGTAACTGATTAGTGTAAAGATAAGACTCTCAATGAACGATTATTGCAGCACTGAGACCAAAGGGGATTTCATTTCACTAAATTAAATGTGTTAAAACTTTAGAGTACCTGCCTCCAAAATCTTACTCCCATCCTGAGAAAACCAAATCAAAACCCTTAAGCTTTCACTTAATTGATCTTTCAAATATTCATATTCGCCGACATGGCACTGAGTTCTCACCAAATGCAGCGATCCGACTCTCGCTTTCAACCAACAAACGAGCCGATGAAATAGGTGCCATTAATCAGCACGAGAGCATCGGGATTGATCGGTTTCATCCGTGGATCGACTGTTAAATCGATTGCGAGTCGTTATATCGAATGACCCTCGTCGATTGATCCATATCTTTACAATGTTATCTATCGATTGAAATAATTCGATAACGATTCAATAATCCAGTCACTTCGGTAGGAGGAGGCAATAATAACAGTTTGCAACCAAGTGACCCAGTTATCATTCATATTTGAGTGAAGTGTGTTATGGAACGCGTAAGGACGTTCGACCGTGTTATCTTTACACCTACTCTCTCGTAGGTATGTGCTGTATGGCGATCAATTACCGTTCGATACATCGAAGTTCGATATTTCCCCCATGATTTAATGACAATGACACGGAGAGATATCGCATCCGGGTGTTTTTTTTTTTTGCCACTTCCTCGCGTTAAAAGCAATCGGTGACGTAACGCGACGTGAAAATGCTGCATGAACACGCTCTGATACTTTCAAGTGCTTGGGATCGAGACCCAGCCCTTGAGACGCTCTTAGCTTGGGATCGAGGTGAAAATAAATCGTGACAAATATATTCGGAGCCGCGAGAATCAGCGTAAAAATAAACGCGTTGACGCTGGATTCGAACCGGAAAACATGTTTACTTCATCACGGCCCGAAAAGGAAATGATAGAGGTCTTCGGTGACAATAATGCGGAGGGAGTGTCTTGAAAAGAAACTGCACTCTAGAAATGGTAAGAGAGAAAAATCGCGCCCCACAACCAAAAAGAGACTTTTTCATAAGGAAACAGGAAATTTGAAACCTGACAAGCACCATCAAGAGTTGTTAAGATTGTGCAACTGTGTTTTTCATTTGCACAACTAGGTATGCCATATTTTGTATCTAACCACTGTCGTAGATCCAAATGATAGGCCTGAAAAAAACAATTCTTTTCATTGAGATAATAAAGAATCCTTCATAAGAAGTACAAGAATCAAAACCGTTTTGGAATAGGAAGCAATTCGATCAAAATCTTTCAAAAAAATGAACTAATTTTCGTGATCAAATTTGCAATAATGCCGTGCTTAGGAAGAACGCCGTATACGCGTTCGAGAGTTGCAAAATTTCCTCCCCTAAAATGGTAATTTTTGAGGACTGTCATGAATATTTGCTCTTGAAATGTTCAGATAACTTAGATCTGATTGCGAATACAATTCTCTGAAAAATTGGAGGAAAAATATTCACAGCTTTCACGGAAGATTTTTATTGCATAAAATGAAATTTGGCAGCGCCTGAGGGTCATACGATGTTCTTCCTTACCACGGCGGAATAGCTGTGCAACTAACAAAATTTCAATGAATATTCTATAGTTTTGCACAGGGGAAATGGTTGGCTTGTAGGTCTCCAATGAGTATCATGTGTCATTCCAAATAGGGCTGTATCGTAACAATACACATTCATCGATATTCCTGTTTGCTTATCATTACGTCATGTCAGGCTATTATCGTCAGCAATAAACCTGACAAATTCAACGCGTCGAAAGAAGTTAAATGGACGAATCAACCCAAATTTGTCGCGGTGAAAAACAAAAGAGAAAATTAGAATGGGCGTTGCATGACTAAAGCTCAACTCTCGCCTACTGGCATGACTAAACGCGAGCCTTGAAAACAAATCGAGGCATAAAAGATAAAAAATGATAAGAATCTCGCTGTCAGAATTTTACTATCTCTTTACGAGGGATGCGTTAGCGGAACAATGACGGGTGTGTGATGTCTGCGGAGCAGAAGTCACAAAATTGGCTCAGCGCCTGACCTACTAATGTATCCGGAGCCAGACGCAATTTGCACGACCACACACTCACAATTTCATCCGAAAATTCAATGTCCGCCTCCGCCTTGCGCGATTGCATAACGAGAGCGGCGCAGGAATGGCAAGGTCGCCTCTTGTCCCTCCTCAATTAATCGTGGAACAATCGCCGAGTCCTAGGTCGGATCCTCGAGCCTCCCTCGCAGGTCACGTGACGTCACTCGGGTTCCATCCGATGGCCCCATTATGAGACTCCACAATGCTGCCGAGCTAATGGAAAACGCCGTATAAACATTCAGACCTTACGACATTTGGATGTATTTGTGCTAAAAGGAACTATGTCACACGCAAACCCTATGCACATAGTTCCTTTCAGCATAAAAACGTCTGTTTCTTCTAGTAAAACACGAAAGAACCAGGTGACTTGCCGCTTTTTTTACATGAGATTTTGTATGAATATTCTCCGATCTCCGTAATTTATTTCATTGTATACATCGCTCCTCTGGACGTTAGGGCGTATCTCTATGTCCACGTAAGCCCTGTTTTACGCGTAAATCAGTGCTTTCTGAGACTATGCAACAATCGAGGTACGCCCTTATGCCAAACGAGCGACGTTTTATGCGGTGAAATAATGCAAAAGGATCCTTGAGAGGGAAACTTAAATTTTTCAGTGCAATCCAAATAACTAATTCGGGGTGAAAAATGTCAAATCTTAGATTGGAATTATGCTAGACGCTTGTGGGATTGAAGGTGCAGGATTGAATGTTTCAGCCTTGTAAGTACCACGATGAAAGCATGTTGCATGGTATAATGGTGAAACCATGTTGCATGGTATAATGGTGATACCATGTTGGTATAATGGCGAAACCATGTTGGTATAATGGTGATACCATGTTGGTGCTATGGTGGTACCATGTTGGCACTATGGTGGTACCATGTTGGTACTATGGAGGTACCATGTTGGTACTATGGTGGTACCATGTTGGTACTATGGTGGTACCATTTTGGTGTTGTGATGGTATTATGGTGGTACCATGGTACTGTGATGCTAGCATTGTAGTATACCATTTTGGTACGGTGGTGGTATTACCGCCATTGGTACCATGTTACCTAGTATCCAAGGGCTACTTCTTTAAACCACAATCACTTCCGACACGTTCGGTTTTTTTACTTTTTCGCTCCCCTAGGGTAGATAGGAAGTATTGTCATCCTCCAAGAAAAAGAAAAACAAAAAAAATTTTAAATTTCATCATTTCTAGACGTTTTTTTGAAATTCCGCGGTTGGCGACAGCGAGTCTAAAGCTCAGAAGCTGGGCCGCTCCGCCGATGCGCTGAGAAGCGGAGCGCCTATGACCTGGGACACCTCCAAACATGGTGACCGCCTTCCTTCCCTTCCTGCGCGCCCGGCGCCCCGCCTGTCCGTCAACGTAACGCCCGTAACTGCAGTGGGCTCCGCGCCTCAGCTCACACGACACATGAGCTCTTCGCCAAGGTCACTGCGCGCTCCGCCGGTGAGTGCGACGGTGAAAGTCCCACTTTTACGCTCGTTCCACGCTCATTCATAGTCCCTCGTCACCCGTGGATCGGAAACTCATGAAAGAAGCTGCAGTGCGGTCCATAAAAGCTCCGACTTAATAGACTTTAGAGTGAAGGTTACAGACGTTACTAGTGATACTACCGTTACTAAAGGTGACGTCATCGTGGAGGTTCTCTGTTATATTGAATAGGGCATAGACTAGCACTCCCTTCACTGCAGCGCTAAGGAAAAACGCCGTATGAACATTCGAGAGTTACCAAATTTCCTCCGATAAAATATTTATTCTTGAAAAAAGTTGAGAATACTTTCTCTTCAAATTTTATGATGATCTATATCTGATGGCGAATAAAAATCCCTGAAAAATTCGAAGGAAAATACCCACAGATTACCCCGAAAATTCATATTATATCAAAGGAAATTTGGCAACGTCCGAAGGCTTATACTGCATTTTTCTGTAGCACGGCAGTGTAAGTCTCATCCCTAAAACTTCGTACGAGTAATACTACGAGTAATTATGGATAAAAGTAGGTAAAGGCAAGAGTCCAAATGACGTCATGTGTATCATCTACTTTTATTTTGCTCTATGTTGAAAATGCACTTCAATAAATCCGCCAAGAAATTGATTTCCGAATTTCTCGTTGCTTGAGTCACTTTCTACGCAAAATTTTGAAGGGAAAACTTTTTGTTCGGTTGGCAGAACAAACCTTTCCAATTTTTTGCATTTTCATAAAATTTTTGAAAAAACATCAGTAAAATTTAAAAACCCAAAATGACGTCCCAAGTGACAGAATTTCTACTCGGATCAAGAAAAAGTCACCCTTCATTATATGGCTGCGATGAAATTCTCTAAAAAAAATAATGGGATGCTGATTAACTTGGGAGAAATTTAATTCTGAGACACATCGACTGGGATTCTCAGTATTGTTTTAAATTACTTTCTCACTCAGAAAAATATCAACAAACCTAAACGGTTGAATTGTTCAGAATATATTTGTAAGTCTTAAAGAGTAGTTACTTGGAAAATAAACTTACGTGTGTTAGAGTCACTGCAATCCACACCACCAACGAGGAGAGAAGTTTCATCTTCGCTGTAACAGAAAAACACACAGGCAATTAATCAACAATCCACCGAGTGCATTCTTGTAAATTTGCAGAGGCTCTAAAGAGTAGGTTAAAGTAAAATAGAGAAAATTAAAATTGAAAAGACACGGTGCGGCGTTGATGGAATACTAGGAAGAAGCTTGCAGTCTCGCAATGAATATAAATAAAAGAGCACCTGCTTCTTCTGCGTTTGATTTATCGCCAACTTTCTTACCCCCGCGTTCGAGTCACCCATTCCCTGCTGGCCGCGGCAACAACCGTGGATGAGCGGATGGTTTACATTGCAGTTACGTGGTTCTAATTTGGACTGATTTTGCAACAAGACACTACTTTTTCTAGCTCATCCATAAAATCCTGCCTGCATGAAGAAATTGACGCCACGTAGGTTTTTTCTAAAATGCACCAGAAATAGTAGCTCCTGGTTGCTGCAGAATGTAGGCCATCTAACATGGCGGGGCCGCAATGGTAAAAAGTATGATTTTTACATGTTGTAAGGCAGTTATAATCGATGGCTTGAAACGAATAAGAACATTTGATTGAAGAACTGGCCATCACAGCGCACTAATAGAGAATTGTTCATAAATGATATTGGTGAAAGAATAAATAGGTAGAAGAAACCTATTAGACAATGAGTTATATTATTTGATGACCATTTTTAAAAAAGACTGTATCTTCATATTCAATCGTCCCAACCTTTATGAATGGTTTGACAATTTGGAGAGGCTTTGAATATTCAAGAAATTATTCAAAGTTATAGAACAAAAAATCCTCATTCACTTTTTTTTCTTTTTCGAAAGATACTTTCAATCTAGCAAGAGATACGTGAATTTACATCCTTTTAATTATAAAAATAAAATTAAAGAATATAAAATGGACTGAGGTTTAAAGATCGCCGTGCGACGCGGAGATACTTACGATGTGCATCCATAAAATGTTACCGAACCCCCATCAATTATTATGATAATGATCAAGGAGAACCGAAAGCAATCAAATATCCTGCCAAAATGTGTCCCTGAGGCACGTCTCTTCAGTCTCTCTCAGAAAATTATTTCTGGGTCAATCTTGAATTACGCACTGCTGATTTGCAGTTTAATTGAACGTCCTTGTCGTGCAAAGAGCAACACACACCTCCCGCTACGCTCGTGCCGATCTGTTTTCATCAGTGGCGTGGCGTGCTTTGCGATATATCGATTGTTACGCCATTTAAATATATGAAAAAGGATCGATAAACAGGGTGTTCGCAGCGAACACCTTAATAATCGATTCTTTACCATGGGTTTAAATGACATAACAATCGATATATCGCAATTCACGCCACGCCACTGGTTTTCATATCGACTTACGGAGTCGTAACTCCCGAAATCCTGCCACGTTGCATAATGAGGCGATCCATCGATAAAGGACCTCTTTAACTTTCTCTGCATGAAATATTAGCCGGTCGGATTGCAGAGGGATCGACCAACACCTCGGAAAATGTGGCGTGAAGCCGACCTCTGCACAGCCATACTGGCGAAGAACGCCTTATGGACCTTCAGATGCTGCCAAATTATGTTCAATAAAACACACATTTTTTTAAGAACTGGACGTATTTATGCTAAAAGGAACTATATTGCACACAAACTCTATGCACATAGTCCCTTTCAGCATAAATGTGTCCAATTCTGAATACTTTTTCTATAATTAGACCGAGTTTATCAGAGAGGAACCAACTCATATTTTTGAAAAATTGAGTTAAGAATGTTTTTGAGTTCCACTATCCGTATATTTTCTCCCGCCAAAAACTGAAAGTCGAAAAACAGAAATTAGTTTGTGAAAAGAGGGGCGAAGTTTATTTTCTACATTAAGCCTTATGCGGGAATAAAACTTCAAACCTTTTTTATCTCAGTTTCGAATTGATGTGGATTAGTTTCTTTCTGATGAACTAGGTCCAATTTATTACAGAATTTCATTTATTATTTGATCTAGGGCATCTGGAAATTAGAAAGGAAAAAATTCGTAGCTGCATGAATAACTATTTTCTCAAATGGAAAATTTGGCAACGTACGAATGTTCATACGCGGTTTTTTCTGAGCACGACTGTGTACTTCGTCTTTGTCTCTGATCAGCTGTATACGAGCTTGCTCTCGGATCGGTTGACAGTTATGCTCCATGACTTGCGGTCGCGCCTTCCTAATCGTGCGCGAAAATAATGCAGTACTCGACCGTGTTATTTTCCTATTATTCGCCGATTTGGCAACGCTGGTCGTAATTCGATATTAATGCCATGCGACTGTTATGACAGTATTTCATTTGTATGTCATCGCCCGCTCTCGGCCCAGGTGTTAAAACATTGAGCTTCTTAAGATTCGCGAGGGACCGCCCTGATTTTGATAACTGATAAAATGCTTACAATGTGCAAGCGTTTAAAATGTGGGTTTTGTTTTCATGTCTGGCGGCTGCCGCCATAAAGAATGGTCGGGTTAGGTCAAGTTCGTCTGCAGATTTAAACAAAAAGTCAGCCGACCATCGAGAAAAAAATACATCAGGGGGCTGAATTTCTTCATTCATTAAATTTATTCTTTTAACTTGTGTTCAGTGTTGTGATGCATCTTTTTCATTTCTTCATTTGGACTCAATTAGACAGAAAACAAACAAGTCATATTTTAAGAAAAAAGAGGAGTAGGTTTGAGCTGAATTAGCCATGGACGTATTTCTATCAAACGGAACTATGTGCATTAAGACATGAGCCCTGAGACCCATAAGAATATGTGCATAACAGAGCTCACGTCATAACGCACATACTACCGTTTCATAGAAATACGTCCACATATCCTGCGCTTCTCATAAAATTTTAGGGCGAGAAAAAATATTTTGAAAGTGAAAATAAGCACTGAACTGTATCTCTAACAGTGCGTGGTATGGAGAATGAATTTTTAAACTGTTTTTTTCATCGGTTTGATCTTGATGCGACTTGGTTTCTTGTCTGTCAACCCTGGTAAAAATTGGCGATACGAGCTGCGTTTCAAAATACCATAGGAGTTCTTATAGCCGACTAAAGAAGGTTATTGAAGGCTATAGCCGGGCTATACGAAGCTATGAAAAAGTATACAGTCGGGCTATAGTTCCTATCGCCGGGCTTTACACTTTATCGCCATTGGCTATAAAAGGCTATAAGAAATTGAGTAGAAATTCGTGTGCTTTGGAAATCATTAAGTTTGATACGGAACTACCTTAATATTTACAAAACACACATTATATTTTCCTTTAAAACATTTTTTTTTTTCATCAATTAAAATGAGGTGGCCCATACAGAGTATGCAAACATTTCAAAATCATGAGTTGAAAAACGCTGACTCAGCGAGATTAAATATTAGAGCCTAATAACACAAAGCGGAGCGGCGACGCATTGGCGCCTACAAACCTAACAGGGATACTTCACGCATTGCGCGTAACGCGCATCGGCGCCTACAAACCTAACTGGGATACTTCACGCATTGTGCAAAGTTAATGACAAATATTTGCACAATGTCCTAAAATAAGTTTAGAACTTGATCTCTAACAGTGTTTCTCACGAAGGGTTGGGTTTCAAACTTCCCGTTTTCGGTTTGATCTTGATTTGACTTGGTTCCCTTCTGTTGAACTTAGTGCAATCATTCCAATTTTTGCTTGTTCTCGGTTTAAGTCTTGGTGCCGATCCTAGTTTCAAATCCATAATCCATAGTTTGTTGACTCAGCGAGTTTTCACCGCAATTCATGTCCTTTTCTCAACATTCGATCGTAAATACACGAACCACCGAGGCGTAAAAGTACTTTTGGTTTCTGTGGCAACTCTAGTCACTGATAAAACAGTCAGAGATGTTGAGAGGGAGGGAGAGGAGAGTGGGCTGGAGGTTGGAGAGGAATGAGGATAGAATGAGTGAGCCATGTCATTGCACCTTGTTATCTACCACAAGCAGAGCTACTTAACCGTATTACAGAAACTTGCAAGCCGCTCTCAAATTATTCCATAGCAAAACAAATTCTTTTGCGGTTCCCAATTACGAGTAGCTGATGTCCGCCTGTTCCAGGAATGGTGAGAAAATCCGGTTACAGGTAAGCAGCGAGAAAGACCCCAAGAGAGAAACAAGTATCTCTCTCGAGGCTCTATTTTCAAACCTAAATTGTTTAATTTTACTTAAAGTTTGATAAATTTGAAATTTTTCTGACACTACAATGAATAACCTCTTTAATCCCCTTCAATCTTAGTGTGAGCCATACCGATGGCCCTGTGACTGAACAGAAGCAGACTAAGATTACTGATTAGTTTACTAACAGAACATGGCCACCTCAGGAAGTATGTTTTAGTGCGTGTTGCATACCCAGCCCCTGAAAATATGTTTCATATTTTTGACAACTTGGTGAAAATTCATGAAATATTTCACAGAAATTTTCAAAATTTCATGTGTTTCATTATTTTCATCTGTGCAACCCAACATAGTGCTTACAGCAATGAAATCTGTTCCTACACGGAAAAAAAATGGCTGATTCAACAATTCAATTGCTAAAAACAGTGAGTGCAATGTTTCAACACAGATTTTACAACAAAAAAATGCTACTTTAACCACCCCCGTGGTTAAATTAGTTTACAATGTGGTTAAAGTGGCATTTTTTTGTTGTAAAATCTTCGTTGAAACATTGCACTCACTGTTTTTAGCAATTGAATTGTTGAATCAGCCATTTTTTTTCCGTGTAGGAACAGATTTCATTGCTGTAAGCACTATGTTGGGTTGCACAGATGAAAATAATGAAACACATGAAATTTTGAAAATTTCTGTGAAATATTTCATGAATTTTCACCAAGTTGTCAAAAATATGAAACATATTTTCAGGGGCTGGGTATGCAACACGCACTAAAACATACTTCCTGAGGTGGCCATGTTCTGTTAGTAAACTAATCAGTAATCTTAGTCTGCTTCTGTTCAGTCACAGGGCCATCGGTATGGCTCACACTAAGATTGAAGGGGATTAA